AATCCAAAAAAAGTTGGTTAAAATCGTAAATTATAAGGCATTTTGGTCACTGAGGCGATTTTCTCTAATATTTATTGCATTCTCAAATATTTCCTCCCTTTTCCAAATTATTATTTATAGTTTTTCATTCAAATAAAAAAAATTAAAGGATTAATATAACAAAAAAACGTAATATATCTCCGAAGTGATAAATACTCCATGTTAAGGACACTTGGCACATCTCCAAAGTGGTTAGGGCTTCTTCATACTCATGAGCACCAAATGCATGTTTATTTAACATGTGCTTCTCTTGTTCCCCTCGAGTGCCTTTACCTTTTCTTGGCTTTCATTGATAGTCATAAATATTGCTTTATGACTGTGTTTTTTAATGGGTTTTCATTTGTGTCATGTCTTGTTTCTCTTTGCATATAGTTTTTCATGCGCCGCTGTGAATGTATTATGTGTACAACATCACACCCACCCTATGAGCTATTAAGCCCCACCAATCAATACCCTAATCACACACATATATTTGAAGTTGTGGTTATATAGTAAATCACAATGTCTATCCCAAGCATTAATGTAAGGGGACTTGGTTTAATTAAACTAATTTCAAAAATCAAAACTATTTGTTAATAATAAAATTCGATGATCATTTATATAGTTAAATTAATAAACCAAAGAGTGTAAAGAAAACTTTTAAACATATAAATTACTAAAAGATAAAATAAAAGCATGATCATGCTTGTGATTATTAGAAGCATGAAGTTGCTAGCTAAAAAAGCAAAGTGTTGATAACAACCATCATAACTTGATAGCATTGTTTTTTTGCCATTTGGTCATGCTAATGGCCATCATTAAGATGTTTTTAAAACTGTTGTAATGTTATAAAATAATTCACATTAAATGCAATGTTTTATAATTTTTTTTAATAATAATTTAATAAAATTACAATAAAAAATAATATTTAGTCATATTTTTTAATCATTAATAGATGTACGCATATCCGGTAGACAAAGACATAGGCACGATTGAATATTAGTAGGGGCCGATATATTGAACTTTTCAAGAAAAATATAATGACTCATTAGATATTTAAACTCACAATTCATAAGACAATGCCTAAGTTGTCTAATATCTAAACTTACAATGATCTAAATTATTATTAGACCAAGAAATTTAAGAATACAAGGTCATCATTCTTAATTTGATCCCAATTTGATTAAATATTTAATAAATTATTGTATATATTTTTTAATTTAAATACTTATTTTTTTTACATAAATTGAAATGCCATAAGATAAAAAATTATTAAATATATAAAGTTTTTAACATGGGTAGGGATATCTTTGGGCCTCAATGTAACTCGGTCTTTACTTGCAGATACAACTGTTTGAATCTAAAATTTAGAGAGAACAATATTTTTTTAACCAATGAAGTCGTTAGATGAATTTCATAATTTATAATTGTTGTGATAAATTATAAGGTATCTTTTTATATAATAATCATAAAAATATATTGAAGGCAATCATTAACAAAATTAGATTTTAATTATTGTTGTTTTTATTAAAGGTATAATAGATTATTAATTGCAGAAGGAGCCCTATTTTATTCTCGTACTAATTGTATTATATAATATGTTGTTTGATAAAAAAATAATTACTGAAAACTTAAGTGTTGAATTTACATTATAAATTTGTTTGTTATTTATTTAAAATAAAATATCATATATGATTATATTATTTGATAAATATAAATTTCAAAGAGATAATATAATTAAAATAAAGAGTGCTTAAAAATTATTTACTAAGTGATAAGTAAGTCCTTATCACCTTATCGTTTTTCATATTAAAAAGTTATATCAGATAATTCTAATTTTTTATTATCAAATACATTTAAAATATTAAACCACGGAAGTTATTGTTTTCCAATGGATTGATCTTTTTAATAGATTACGATAACCCCTTAGTGAAGAATCCTTTACAATTAGGGTTTGGAGAGTCTACTTACTTTGAACTTGATGATGACATATGTTTAATTAAGATTTGGTTATGGCCACTTAAGCCAATTTGAAAGTTAAATTAATTGTTCACTAGAACAAAACGATATTGAAATAATAAATATTGCTATATTTATATCTTGTTATATAATGTTTTTTTGGGTTGACTACATGGATGATAACTTATATTTGTGTTTTGTCCATTTTTTGTCACTGGTTTAAAAATAAAACATAAAGTATGATCAATTTTGTTTTTATTTAATTAAGGTGTGATCACACTGAGTTAATTGATGTTAATAGCAATTAAATATTTTTGATATAATCACACATTCGGTCCCTGTTATTATATATTCTCTCAATTTAATCATACTTTTAATAAATTAAAATAAATTTAATCCTCCAATTGAATGATCCCAAATGTCATACCAGTAAGGTTGTTCAAAAATACCAGACCCGATTGAGCTGACCCATCGACCCGCTGACCCAGTTAAAAAATATCCGGTATTTATAATAAAAATACCATGTTCATTTTATTTTAAATTCAAAACATTTGAAATTTAATTATATTTCTTTATTTGAAATTTTAATAAATTTTATTTCAATGATGTAATTTGAATTTTTAAACTTTATGTGTGGATTATATATATTATAGACTTTTAAATTTTAGATTTTTTTAATATAACTTTTTTAGAATAATATAATTTAAAGACAAATAAAAAAATTATGAACCGGGTACCCGTGACCCGAATTATATATAATATAATTTATTTTAATTTATATATAATTAAACAACTTTGAGGGTAAAATTGATGCGAAATACAATAGAGATGAAATTGATAAATTTGGTCTACTACATGTGCATCTGTGACCCTTGACCATAAAAAATAATACACATTTAATTATTTAAACATATTCACAACTATATATTTAAACATATTTGAAAGTATATATTTATAAATATTATAATATCAATAGTGTTAATCAAATTATAATTTTAATAAATAGTTGGCATCAAGTGTTTATAGTGACTAAAAGAGTGTTGTTCTTTATAGAGAATTAGAGATTTTAAATTCAAACAGTTACATCACGAATATATATAAAAAATATTTTAAACATATATTGTCACATAATTACTTTAAATTATTAAAAAAACACTTTAATAAACATAGTACACGGAAATCTCATCCTTATCAATTGTACTTAAAGCTACGAATTATTGTTCGGATAAAACCAAAAATAAAAAATAAAAAAATCAAATGGTTTAATTTGGTTTCAAATATTTAGAAAAGAAAATTTGAGTTTGGCTTTTGAAACTAAATCGATTTTTGTAATAAATCAATATAAAAAGTTTTATTCTCATAGAATCATTTAGTTTTATTAAAAAGGAAAATTATTTAAAATTACAATAAAAAATTATATTATAAATGTAAATTAAATATATAATTAGAATAATTTTCTATAATCATTGGCAATAAGCCTAATCATTTAAGATCATATGAGAATTAAATAAGAAAAATGTTAAAAACTCATTTAAAAAACTCGAACAAATGCTAGATAATAAAAAAATATGATTACATCGGTAAAACAAACCACGACATAAGATTAAAATACTGAAAACCAATAACAATAGTAAATTAGAGTTAAGTGTAGTGAGAAAACTATCTACGGACAAATAATATATTCAAATTCAATTTGAGAGTACAAAGTTGAAAAGATCAGTAGGATAACAAATAAACGACATCTTGATGAATCGAGAAGATTTCGAATCAACAATGAAAAAGTAAACTAAATAAAATCGGCCGAAAAAATAATAAAAATCAAAAGCGTGTGTTATAAAGGTATCAAAAACCATGTGATAAAATTATTAGAAATTAAAAATAACAAAATAAAAATATAATTCTAATATTTGTGAATCACCTGCGGAAATAGGAAGTTTGCTTGTGAATGACCGAACAAGGAGCACAGTAAACTAGCTTAGATAATTTCTATCTTTCTGTATTCAGAAAAAGAAAGAAAGAAAGAAAGAGAGCCACGTTATATCAATCTAAAAAGTGAAATTAAAGGATGTATATGTAATTATATTAATATTTTTATTTTAGTTCTATAACTTTTCAAAAATTAATAATTCTATCTAAAAGATATGTAAACTCTCTTTTTAACTTGTGAAGTTCCGTTGAAAAGTTAAATCATATGCCTCACTCAGCGGTTATCGGCTCTAATCCGAAATGAGTTTTTCTAAAGGACAGAGCCCATAAATTAAGGCTCTATTCAGGTTGTAAGGTCTGGACTTTGGGGTTCCGAATATTAGTTGTAAGCCCATACTAAAGAGATGGATAATACTAGTAAATGGGTTTCTCTTTCATATATCTATTTTAATCCCAATTTAATTTAAATAATATTTTTATTAATATAATAAAATTTATAATTTAAATTAGTAATTAAACGTTTCATTTTTTTTCTGATTTAATTAATGATATCTGATCTATTGATCAACTAATCTAAATCAGATTTTATAAGAACTCCGTTATGAGAGGTGACCTTGCTTTATTTGCAAACATTAAAATTTAAATTCCTGACATTGCACTCTTTCTAAAGTTAAAAGGTTTAATTCTCATTAAAATTATACATATATGTTCTTTACTTTCTCTAATAAGACAATAATACTGTTATCATTTTATTTAAAAATATTATTTTATTAAGAATAGTGACATGTGACCATTCCACTTCAGCTAATATTAGCAACAATTGTCCTAATAAAAGTGAATTAAAAGTTTATTTATCGTAATACAAGCTTTAAAAATTTAGTGACCCAAATGTAATCACTCTAAACTTTTAGAGACTACAACTGTAGTTTACCGTTATAAATAAAATAAAACAAGAAAATATATAGGTTGGTCAATAGTCAGTAACCCGCCTATCTGAGAGCCAGAGGGAAATTCAAAAATCAAACGGAAGATCGAAGAGACAAAGAAAGAAGAAAATTCCAGAAGAAAAAGAACAAGGAGGAAAAAAAAGCTCAAGGATGCTGAGAACGGAATCGAAGACGAAATCAGTAAGGAAACCTCTGAGAGATTTAACGAACAAAGGAAGTACAAAGACTTTATCCAAATCAGAGATTCCGAAGAACAAGATTATTCCAAAAGACAGTAATAATCGAAACCACAACTCCCTCGATTGCCTCCTCTTTCTTCACTCCAATCTTTCTTCTCTCCTTCGCCAGGTAGCGTAATTGATTTTCATTTCATCTTTTCTCTATACCGGATTGCGTTAGTCTTTTGTTAGTCCGGATTTTCAATTTTCTTTTAGTACAATATCTATACATATTCCTCGAAATGTGATAAAATGGATCTATGCTCGAGGACATTGCTGATTTCTGCATTATTTGGATATGCTTGAAAAGTGTGGCCGGTAATTATGCCTAAATTGTTTTTTTCCCTGCAAATTTGTTTGTGAACTTGGCAGATTGATGAACTTGTTGTGCAAGCTTTCAAGCTTAAGGCAACGGAAAAGGGGAGAAAAAAATTGAAACCTTCATGATGTCATTTCCGATATGCTTTCGTCTTTAAAGGTTAATCCTCTTGAGCTAATTTTTTAAAATGTGTTACTTGAATTTGAATGTATTTGTTATAGATTTAACATAGATTGTTGTTTCCTACGTTTGCAGCCGTGGGTCCCCAGATTTCAGAAGGCACTTTCGAATCCTTCTACTGGGGAGCACGAAAATCATCAGCCTGGAAAAAATTTGGAAGCTGAAATTGTGCCTTTTGTTGATGCAAATGAAAATGAATGCTTTGATGTTGGAAGTCCAGAAGAAACAACGTTGGACTCGTTAATCTCCCCCTCTCCCCTTGTGTCTTGGCGTGTTGCTGACTGTAACGTTGAGAGAGGTAGACAACTGTTTCTTCTCACACCTCTTCCTCCATCGAAAGCAATGTCTTCCAAGAGGTGTGAATCGTTTAAGTCAGTAATCGAAGGGATCGCTTCCAAATCTAATATTGAGCTTGCATCTTTTCTCAACATTCCCGGGGATGAAAATGCTGACTTGCTTGATGGTGTTGAAATGAAGGCAACTCCAGTTAAGCCTTCTGGTTCAGTTGTGGTTGAAACAGATAATACATTGGAGTGCAGGATCGTTTCTTCACCAGTGTTTTCAAAAAGAGACCTTTCCGTGTTTGTCACGACACCATGCTTAAAAATGTCACCACCTAAATCTTGTGTGCTGCTCGAACCTATTCTCAAGTCCTGGAACAGAGGCTGTTTTTTAGTTCGCAAGTCTACCCCATATCCTGTTGGGATTAACAAGAGTGGTTTTTCTGAATCATCTGGAAGTGAAGAATCCCCTGAGGATCTGTCTTTGAAGTATCCAGAACTACGAGGAATACAGCAAACATATGTACCCGAAATCAGGAAAAAAGAGCTGGAGTCTTCACCAACATGGTTATTCTCACCTCCTAAAAGTTGCATTTTGTTGGAGCCACCAGATGAGGAACCCCTGGACAACGTTGGTACTGGTCACCACTTGACTACCACTGGTGCTTTAAATCGACAAGCAGATGTGGTTTTCTTGAAAGGAAATGCTTGTCAAGAAACCATGACAATTAACCAAGGTATCTATCGTTATGCATATGCAGCAGTAGATGAATTCATTGATGTTTAATGTTTGAGTATAATTTTTTGTTCTGCAGTAAATGCTGGCATTAGCTTGGCTGCTGTAGAAGGTACTCCAATGTGGAAAGAACCTCACAGCACAATGCGGAGAGGGAAACATCCGGGTGAGAGTACTCTAAAGAAAGAGTTATGGTCAAAGTTTGAGGCAGTGTCGACTTATAGTCTTCGTTACAACACCTCAGCAGTTCAAAGAACAGCTAAAAAGGGTTTTCTTGACATGCTGGATGAGGTTTCATGTGATGAAGAAAGTTCAATATCAGATGGTTTGAGATGACACTGCTCTCCATGTCTGCAAAAAGTTCGATTTATAGCCGTTGGTATTTGCAGAGATTTTTCTGGTAAATTACTCGGAATGCTTTGATTTTTACCCCACATGAGGCTCTTCTTGTTCAGTCGCCTGAAACTGTATTGCTTTTGATTTGTATATATGGCCTCCCCTCTTCCTACTACAATTGTCTCAACTCCAAGCTTTTGCCAGTGCTACTTTGCTTGTTTGATCAACTCTACTGCATACACTAGTTGAATATTGTGTCAGAATCTACATATTTAAATTGTTTAATGCGAGTCGGAACTCAAAATTTACACATTTAAATGCAGCTAAAGTTTTTGGCATTGTTGTATTAGCAACTAGTTTTGCCTTTAGTCAAGTATATTGGTAGGATTATGCTTTATCTTTACTTCCAAATCTAACTATTAATGCCAGGTTGAAGAGTGTATAATTCTTTTCAATGTACGTGATCAAATAAATAGTTTACCTTAATTTTCAAGTTCTAATAAGCACGTGACGTGATCTCAAGTCAATTTTTTTATTCTTTTCAATTTTCTAAAGAAACAAACAAACAAACAAAGAAAACAAAGTCCCAAATATTTTGATTTTGAAAACTCATCCGGCACATCAAGTTCAACCTATACTTCCTAATTCTCATTCTTTTGCAAATGTAATCTTATGTCTAAAAATGTAGTCCCAAGAATATCGACTGAGAAAATTCATCTTTCAAAAGTGATTAAAATCTCAACGGTCAAAAATTAATCTCAAAACAGTTCGACTGAGAACATTGATGTCACACCCCAAAAATTTAGGGGTTAAATTTTGAACTTTTAAAACTTTAGTGTCATTGTATGAGTGCCTAAAAGTGTAGGGACTTCTGTTGTGTTTAGACCACGGTTGAAATAATTTTTAAAACCCATTTTAGTTTTAGTTTTCAGAATTCGCCCCGACTCCAATTTTAAAACTTACAACCGTCTCTTATGTCTCTCACTCTCTATATTCGGGTTTTGATCGATTCGTCGTCGATATGGTCTCTGCTGATGTCACCATCGGCACCATTCAATTCATCTTAGCATTTCCGTTCGAACAGTGGTGACATCGTTTCCATTGATGTCACTGTTAGTGGGGTGAAGTAAAACAATTTTTCGGGTTTTGTAAAAGTCGTGTTTCCGTCAAGTTATGCCGCAAACCGACTTCGGTTAGTTGTTCCCGTGCTTTAAAATAATATTATGAAAATTTTTATTCAAAATCGACCACAGGAGGGGTCCCACGCGTAGCCATGCACGTGTGGGACTATTCCAAGCGGCTTAAGCTTTGAACCGACTGGACTGGTTGACCTGTATCCATTGACCTGGTGTGACCCGACTCGTTGACTCGACTCGACCCATTGACCTGGCAATTGACTTTGATCGTTGACTATTGACTTTGACATTTTTTCGAAGACCCATATCTTTATGTTTTTCGATGTCCAGAATTCGTTTTATCAAATCCTAACTCAAAAACCCTATTTAACATTATTTATCATTTAAAGTCTTAATTATGTTAAGTAAAATGTGGGGTTTTGGATTCACTTTTTGGTATTATTTTATGAAGTTTCTATCGTGCTTCTCAACTGCTATCCAGTAGACTCTGATCAATTTCGTTATGCTTAGTTCGATTCTACTCGCTCGTCTCAAGATGCACGTAAGTATTATTTAGTGACTTTATAGGCTATTTTTGTGCATATATATGGTTTTCGTATTCGTAGAGTGTTATTGTTTTTAGGTTCCCGTTCTGCAGGACTTAGTACCACTAATCGTGGGAAGATAATATCGATTAGCTATTATAATTGTTTCTCTTTAACCTGTTTGGTACCTTTAATATTGTTTGTTATTACGCTGTATTATATTATATGTACGCTTGGATTATTACTGATATTTTATTATTGCTACATCATTTTGAATTTGTACATTAATGCATTCTGTTTCTGCATGAGATCATCTACGGAGGGCATAATTTCCGTTTTGATTCTGTATGGGACAATGTTCCCTGTTCTTTTTTCTTTTATTTTTATTGCAAGATAAAATTTTATTAAAGAAAAGGCCGTTGGATTATATGCGTAGTTAAAAAACTTCTAGACCTAAAAAGAATACATATAATCAAGAAATACAAAAGAAACCACAATCCAACAAATTAACCACAAGAAGCCGAACCAAGCAAAACAGAAAATGACAATAAACGAGAGAGTAGGAGCTAAACTATAGCTATCAACAACTACCTAAAAAAACCAAACTAGCGATCTCCCAAACACGAGATTTAGACCCCGAAACCAACAAGCTCGAGGCACGTAATCAGCCGTATGACATTTACCAACCCAAATAAAGCTATAAGTAAAGACAAAAAGCATAATGCTCAACATTATGTTTCAGGTTCTCATTCTGCGTTTGATTATATTCTTCTTTTTTATTTTGCATAGGATTATGTTTCCCATCCTGATTCTGTATGGGACTGTGTTCCTCGTTTTGATTCTGCATGGGTTTAGTCGGCGTCATAATTATGTATGAGATCATTGACCTTTATATAACACGTGTAGATAAATTTGAAAAGATAATATATGTTAAAATGGGTTTAGGGTGAATTTTTGGCAAGCTCTCAACATAAAACATTCCAAGGGAGAGACAAAAAGCATGGTTTTCAGAATCGGACCGGTTAGCGAATCGGTCATATTATCGGTTCACTGGTTCAACTGGTCGAACAAGTCCGATCGGTCGGAAGAACCGGACGACGTCATAATTATTTAAAAAATTAAATAAAAATACCAAAAATATTTAATAAAAAATAATTTTTTATATCACAAGTCATATTCAAAGCAAGTCATAACATATATAAGTTAAAAACCATAAAATCAAGTGAAACAAAATGATTCAAATTAACTACAACATAATATTTAAGGTAAAACATATTAAATAATAAATATAATTATATAACTATAATTAAAAAATAAATTTGGGGCTAAAAAATCATAACAAAATGATATTTGTTTGGTTTAATTTTTTTTAAATCAATCTCACATGGCTAAGAAACATAGAAGAGCATCCCAAAAGTCTAAAGAGTAAAAATATGAGAACAAAACAATATTGCATTGCTAAGAAACATAGAAGCGCATCACAACTAACTTCTATAAATAATAGAGGTAATTTGGCATTCAAAATCATGGAGCCTTTTGGTGAGCATTGAGTGAACTATTCTTTCACTTCAATCAAGCTCGAATTTTAGGCTTCAATCGAGCTTCTAATTTTTTTTTGAGTTCAAGCCTTTTTGAGTTCAAGTTTCAATATTATATTTCGAGTTTGAGTTGAACTTGATAATTTTTAGCTTGTGAGTTTGAGTTGAGTTGAGCTTACTTTTAAAGTTTTCAAGTTCGAGTCGAGCTCAGCAATACTCGAGTTCGACTTAGCTCGTTTAACAAACGACGTTGTTTGGTTTAATTTTTTTTTTAAAAAAACAAAAATCCCGGTTTTCCCGGTTTTCAGCCGGTCCGGTTCGAACGGTTCAGCGGTTCTGGCCGGTTCACTAATAACGGTTTAACCGGTTTAGATTGAACCAGACTAAGCAACGGTTTCCGGTTGAACCGGCCGGTCCGGTTTTCAAAACAGAGACAAAAAGCATTCCATTTATGAAACTCGACCTAAAACATAGCTTACATGCAAGCTCTAAGTCTATAATGCTAAAGGGGTGAATTTTTGGCATACAAACAGATAATAAATTCACCAACCGAAAATATACATACATACATCATAATAATAGTAATAGTACAGTACTTATTTGTGCATGGATCATAATATCTTTGTTATTTGGGGCGACATGCAGTCTCCATTGGCCCAGCTTGTCTTGCCAGCTGAAAATAAGCTTCAAGCTTCTTTCTCAATGTTGCATATTCTTTCTTCAGTTGTTGGAAACACCTCATGCATCTGCTAATAGCAAATCAACCCATTTTTTTGAATATCTCCAACACTTTGGGTTTTGCTTGTAACATTAGATTATACAGGCTTTCATATAGTTAAATAATTAGGGGTTTACCCTTCTTTATTTCCAGATTTGCAGTATTCCCTAAACAGTGTGCTCTCAGCTTTCACCTTTTTGGCTCCAATGCTGCAAACCAATCAAAAGGGAAAAAATGAAACCAAATATATGTAATTAGTTGCAATACACATAGAATATACTAGATGATGTTATATACAAAGATCACTGTCTGTTCTGATATATGTTACCTTGAACTGCTTCCTTTGAACTGGTGCATATAGGCATCCAGCTTGTTAAAATCAAAAGGCTTCCTCTCCCTGATGAAGAGCAGATCATCAACAAGAAATCATAAGATTATCATTTTGTTGTAATTATTAGATTATAAGTAGTGGAAACTTGAACTTACAGTGCCTGCTCTATGCTGAGGATTAATCTGGATGAATCTCGGTAGTATAAGGTGACAACTTCTTCTACGAAATTTGGGTTCGCTTCGTCTTGGAGTTCTTCCAACTGCACGAATTGATCATCAAGATATCCCTGCGATCGTCACATTCTTCTGTTTAGTTTAACATGAAACAATCATGAACATGTTGAGGAAACGCTTTACAAACCTGGTCAAAAAAGGATTTCCTCATCATCTGAAGCTGCCTACGCAAAGGGTTCCTCTCCATTATTAGAAAGAATGCTCCAGAGAAGCAAATCACAATTGCCAAAGAATAAGCAAAGGGAAAAAAAAAAGATGTTTGAAGGCTTGAGTGATAGTGCAATCAAAAGGGGAAAGAAGGGGTTTATATAGTGAAGAAATCATAGCAAAAAGAGCTCGAAATTGGGAGATTCTACTAACTATGCAGTGATGGATTTTCGTTATGATTGGGGCTCATATTCGGTGTCTGTTTCTACAAGGAATATATCTGGTTTGTTTGTGGGGTTTCTTATTTTTATAATTTTTTTATTATTAAAGTTTCAAGAGTTAGAAAATAGTTATTAAAGTTTCAAGAGTTAGTAAATAATTTTTTATTTATATTATGTTTATTTTATTTTTAAATCATATATTATA